TTGTAAATTATGAGTAATTATGAGATAAAAAGTGGAAATTAGTTGATAAAAAGTCATAATTATGACAAAAAAATATATTGTTTGTTATTATTGAAACTTTCTCATGATTTTAAGATTTTGTCAATTATGGCTTATGTCATACTTAAGTCAAATTTATTACATACTAAGTCATAGTTATACGTTAAAATTATGATATAAAAATTGACTTTTTATGTCTCGTAATTTCAGCTTTTTTATCTAATAATTATGACTTAGTATGTCATAAACTCAATTTCTTATCTTAAATGTATTTCTACATTTTATTCCATAATTATGATTGACCAAAGCATTTTTTCTTATGCGATGGAAATGGGCTTCCAAAACATATATCACACTGAATTTAGTGCTGAATATGCACTATATCTTATTATCAGCATATGCAATATATGAAGCAACATTCAATAATAGAGCACATTACTCAAGCATTAAAAAGTTGTCTACCCAGTCTGATGCACATTCAGCATGAAGTAACAGGCACACAGACACTTTCTCTTCAGTAAATATGAAGCATTGAGTAATGTGAAACAGGAACACCCATAATTCAAGCCACAATAACCTGTAAATGCTTACTTCTTATGCAGTCAGGTCTGAATGGACACATATACAAGATGCCTGAAATCCCAGATACATTTCCAGAACTGTCTGAGATGAGGTATGATGCTTCATGGCATTTCTTTTCTATGTTTCAGGTATAGTACTAATACATCCCAATTACTTTTGTCTGTCCGTACAAAATATATTTTATTTGAACATATGAATTTGATATTCGTCACATTCTCTCATCTTTCTGGTGGGTTTGTCTGTTTGTAATCTCCTAGTAATTCTCAGCTGAAGGACATGAGTGATCAAGATGACATGCTGTTGGAGTTCTTCATGTGTCTGCCTCAGCTCAAACAAGTAACCTCTGACAAAGAGGAACTGGTCAACAGCATTGTGGAGATGGCCAGTGAGTTTTCTGAGCTAGTTACTAACCTCTAAATAAATTTTAGACTAAAGTGGGATCAGTGGGATTTGTGTTGTAAGTAAGTAATACACAGATTATTTGAATCATAAAGCTAGTCCTTAAAACTATAAACTCACACATTCAACGTAGATCAGATCAGTGTCTTTGGAGGTTTGCAAATAATAGAAGCAATATGTCTTACTTGCAGAGAAGAACCTACAACTCGAGCCTCAACTGGAGAACAAGAGACAAGAGATGTTGTGTAAAGTATGTACTTTCACAAATACTGAAACAAATGCTTGAGTCAAAGAGCCTGTGCATTTTCACAAGTTGTCTCAGACTTTTGGACCCCACTGTACGTTACAATCTTGTCAATATCTTTCCTTTTGAGAATGTTAACAATGAGAATGTTTTGTTTTTTTACTGTAGTATGAACAGTTAACCCAGATGAAGTCTGCATTTGAAACCAAAATGCAAAGGCAACATGAGCTGAGTGAGGTAAAACACGCATGAAAATAATTTATCATTCGCATGTGATTGTGACAAGAAGTCCGTTGGACAAGGAAATGGAAAATATAGTATTGTAGTATTTATCTTGTGTAATATTCAAAATTTCAAACACAAAAGTGTTGTCTTTGTTTTTTCTGCTTCCATATTGTGTTTTGCTTTTCTTTTTTTTTTATCCAGTTACATTTGGCTCAGGTTAATTGTTGAATGAACTGGACTAGACAAAATATGATTGCATTTATTTAATCAAAAATACAGTAAAAAGAGTAATATTTTGAAATATTACTATTGTTTTGTATTTTAATATATTTTAAGATTTGGTTTATTCTTTTAATTGCAAAGGTAAATTTTCAGCAGCCATTACTCTAGTCTTTAACCGTGCTTAATTATTATCAATTGTACTCCATTATTAATAATGTTAATATTAATAATTATATTAATAATAATTAACATGTTCCTGTGGCTCAGTGGTAGAGCATTGCGTTAGCAGCACAAAAGGTCGTGGGTTCGATTCCCAGGGAACACACATACTGGTAAAAAATTTATAGCCTGAATGCACTGTAAGTCGCTTTGGATAAAAGCGTCTGCATAAATTATTAATAGATTTTTTATAAATGTCTTTGCTTTCACTTTTGATCAATTTAATTGTGTCCTTTCCGAATAGAAGTATTAATTCTTTCCTCTTATTTATTTATTTATTTTTTTAAATCTTACTTACTCCAAACTTTTGAATGCTAGCCTGTCACAGTTTCCACAAAAATATAAAGCTGCACAACTGTTTTCAACATTGGTTAATAGTAAGAAATGTTCAGCATATTAATATAATTTCTAAAGGATCATGTGTCACTGAAGACTGAAGTAATGGCTGCTAAAAATGCCGGGGTTTTTTTTGTTTTTTTAAATGTTCACTTTGATTTTCCTTTGCCAGAGCTGCAGTCTGAGCGCACTGCAGGCTAGATTAAAGGTAGCAGCCCATCAGGCCGAAGAGGAGTCTGAGGAGACAGCAGAGAACTTCCTAGAAGGAAAGACAGAGATTGACGACTTCTTAGCCAGCTTCATGGAAAAGAGAACGGTATTAAAGCAATATTCCATATAAAACAATAAACAAATGTTTAAACACAGATGTATGGTACGCATCTTTCTATTGAGAATCCTTAGATTTATACATTTCATAAGACTAGTGTGATGTCCATGAGACTTTTATGTTCTGCCACAACTTTCTGTTACAACAAGTAGTCAACACAGGAACACAGCTATGTTTGTTAAGCCATTCCATTAGGTATTATCATATGGTCTGATATGAAATAGGTGTGCACTTTCTGAAAGTTAACATGATGATGATTTAACCTTCTTTTTCAGCTTTGCCATTGCAGAAGAGCCAAAGAGGAAAAGCTCCAGCAATGCATGAACACACATGGACAGTACCCTACCACACATTAGATTGAATGTCCCAGAAAGGTAATTGATATTTTCTTCAGACTGATTTACTAATGGTAAGAAAGTGTTAACTCTCACGTTGATTTAAAACATTAAATAGTCTTTTTATCACAGGTTTGGGATCAATCTACCAGCAGATGGGTGGGCTTGAGACAAGCAGCACATCTTGTGGCCTACAGCCTTGATTGGGCAAACCTAGATACATATGAAAAAGAGATTTTGGCATCATTATTTACTGAAATCAAAGTGATTTTTGCACAGAATTTCCAAAAGTGTTACGCGATCCCTGGTTGAGTAAGACCAGATGTGAGTACGTCTGGATGTGCCCAGTCTGGCTGTGACCCAAAGACTGTAATCAGAGCAAAGCAATCTGTTCTTAATAGTGTTCAGAAACAGGCTGAGTTCTAAGCTTATTAGTTCAGTTTGAGTTAATGTGACAAATGGGGTTGGGCCTTGTATGCACTTGAAGATGAATTTTGAAAACTGAAAAATCTTAATGCTGCCGACAAAAACATACTGTATTTAATAATGTTGATAAAAGCCTTTATTATAATTAGACACTGTATTATATGTTTATTTCATTTGATGGGTTAATAAAACATTTAGAATAATCCCTGCTATGGTTTAAGTGTGGTTTTGCGTCTTCAATAACATTAATACCATTAGACACCAGAGGTATATGCACAATATATCGGTACCATATCAGTTGTGAGTTTTGTTTTGTTTTTTGATGATGGTCAGTACTGAACATTTAATTGTGCTCATTTTCCCTACTTTTAAATTCAGATTATGTCTGCAAAAACCAACTTTATAAACACTTATAATTTAATAATGTGATTTGAGTAATATTCAAATCTGAAAACAAATATCCATTTCTCATACTCTACGTTATGTTGTAATGCCTAAACTCATCTGTAGTATTTAACCATTGTGCTGTGTTAAAAATACTTTACCCTAATTTGGTGTTCCTGGAAAAATGGACAGCTTATTAAAATGTGCTTGTAAATGCTGTATTATGACCAAATCTTGGATTCCATTTTTTTTGTCAACTTGTTTTCTTTCAGTTAGCACAGATTTTGTAAGCCTCATTGATCTGAGAATTATGCACCCCAGCCTTTGATCTTTCCACAAATGATGCTTAAACTCCGCTTAACGGGATAGTTCACCCAAAAATGAAAATTCTGTCATTAATTACTCACCCTCATGTCGTTCCAAACCCGTAAGACATTGTTAAATGTCCATCTTCGGAACACAAATTAAGATGTTTTTGATGAAATCCGAGCTTTCTGATCCTCCATAGAGAGCAACGCAACTACCACGTTCAAGGCCCAGAAAGGTAGTAAGGACATTAAAATAGTCAATGTGACATGAGTGATTCAACCATAATTTTATGAAGCTACGAGAATACTTTTTGTACAATATTTAGTTATTATATAAACAATTTTTGTAGGCTGGTCATCTCTGATCAGGAACACCACAAGTGTAACAAGGTGTGGGGAAAGAAAAAAAAAAAAGTAAAAAAATTATCAAAATTTTTCTGGGAAGCTTTTATGCCCTGTGTGAGCAAAGTCAGTTCGTTTTAGTCCAATGCAATACAATAACATTAACATTTTCAGAAAAAGGAAAATCCTCTTTGTGTCAAAATGACCGGGACACAACATGAGGGTTAAAAGGAATTATTTTTTGTGTTTATTTTTAATATATTTTGACAAAATATTATTCCATTTTAAATTTGGCCATTTATCAGTTATCAGCCATAAACTCAAAATAATTATTGGCTTACCAGTAGCAGCCAGAATTTTATGAGTGCATCCACAAGAGCTCAGTTTCTGCTAAAACAGTGAAATGTGCAAAGAAAACCAAGCCATTCGTAAGTTGTCTTCATGAAGAGTGTAAACACTTTGTAAATGCTCCTTTCAAAGCACTTCAGGGAAGCGTTTGACTTGTTTGTCCAACAATGCAAGAAGGAGTAGAAGTGTTTAGGAAACCTGTTTGGAAAAAAAAATCATATTGCCGTTTCACGTTTAAAATTGTTCATCCAAAATTTTAAAAATTGGCTCCAGATATGCTGTAGTTTTGTTTGCTGTTTGGCAAACACTTTATTGAGAGCATTTGCCTTAGAAATGTAGATATTCATAAGTTCCAGACAAATTGTTTAACATCTACTGCTTTAGCTTAATTGGTAATCACATGGATGTGTGAGGGATTGATTGTCTATATGTCAGAGTATGCCTACAGTTACAGAAATGGGAAGTAAATGTAGTGTGGGTGCCATACAGCTCTTGGTTCCATAGCCTATAGTTCTTGTTTTCACATGTAAAGGAAATTCTCATCACTTCCATTTAAGATTTTTTAAACACACAGGTGGGAATCTGATGGTCATAATAGGCACAGTCCAATTTCCATGAATATATGGGCTATGATCGGAATGAAATTCTAGCATACGCCATGCTGCCTGCTGTTTTTTTTTTACAAATAACGTGAAATTAGAATGCAGTATGCAGTGCTATACGGTCAAATAAAACTTGCATTATATTTCCCAACCCAAATATTAAAAAAGAAATAAAAACCTGATAGAAGATATTCCTTCCATTTTTTGTATTGCTTTGTGGGACACAGCATTTTAAGCAGTGTGTATTTTGGCCAAAAAAGTTAATATTTAGAACGGAAGCTCGTTTCCACCATGGGATTTAAAAAAAGCAATTCCAAGTTTGTATCTCACAATTAAGACTTTTTTTCATAATTGTAAAATATAAAGTCAGAATTATGAGATAAGAATTTGCAATTGCGAGTAACAAAAAGTCAGAACTGTTAGATAAAACTATGGTGGAAACAAAACAATTTGCGAGATGTAAACCCAAGAGTTGTGAGAAAAACAGTCCGAATTGTAAGTAATAAAAGACAAAATTGTGAGACAAAAGGTCACATTTAACTTTTTTTAATCGCATGGCTGAAACAAGCTTCCATAATAATTCTGGGTTATCTGATATATGTTCTGTGTATTAGTATGAATAGTATGGTAATATGCTGTTCCGAGCATAGCTATGGAAGATGTCAAGACAAAAAATGACTGACGGCTTAAAGGATCAGACAGTAAAATACAGAGTCAAACCATAACCTAAAATACTATACAAAAAATAAGAATTTACTATAATAGAATAAGGTCTTATTGCCAGACCATCTTGGATATGTGTACTTGTTCACATACTTAAATATAAATTCACACACAGATTAAAAAAATTAAAATAACATTAAAAAACCCAGCAGTTCCCAGTTTGGTAGTCGTTACTGTGCTTTTATCCCTCATTGTCACCAGTTCTGTTTTAGTTCAGGCGTTTGCTTTGACCACCTCGTCAGAATCAGGGTCCTTAGTGTCGTCTCCACCACTAGAGGAGTAGCTGCTGAGGTCAGCCACACCCGACTCGAAATCACTGCAGGTTGAAAGGTCATCAGGGTCACCGTTCTTGTGTGGGGCTGCTAACTGTAGCGGCAGTGTGAAGGAAGGAGTGTTTTTCTCGCTTCTTGGGGCGGTGAAGTAGTCTAGAGGGCTGCTGAGTTCGCTCTCGGTTGGAATTGGACGTTGGACACGTTCAGACAACTTGTTGGTCTTCTTCCTCTCCCCTGAAATTTTCCTTTCCTTCAGTTGGACAAGTCTCTGTGTAAATACATTCGAAGAGGACGAGGTTGGCAAGTTTTACATTGGTGCAGCAAAAAGAAGGAACTAATTCAATTCTATTGGGATAATGTTTGAAATAAGGGAGTCCATACATCCTCCATTTCTAAATTGCCTAAAATGTACAAGTTTTGGCTTTGTTTTCCAATTGACAGTCTCTCTACAGTCCTCATACATGATACGTACACGTATTTGCATTGCTTTGACTGTTCTCTGTAGATCCTTCTCTCAAGACTCGATTGGTCAATTATGTACAATTTAGGCAATTTAGAAATTATGACCAGCAAATGTCCAGGAAAAAGAGGACGTATAGTCACCCTAATAAAATGGAACACTAGTATACTACATAGTAAACTTGTAATGTGTAATGTGGGAATGAATTGTGCACCCATCCTCTATTTTTTAAATGCTTGATGATGTGATATTTATGCATGCATGTGTATGCCTTGTCCAGCGTCCGTCTCCCGTGGTACCTCCTGGTGGGAGCTAAGCTCCTCCTCCAATTGTTGTGACTCCTCCCTCACTGCGTTCAGGCAATCGGCTGGAGATTGGTGTGAGGCCACACTTTTCTCTGCACGGCCGTACATTCCCTTCCAAAACCTAGAACATCATTTTCAGTTGATGAATCCTCTGTTGCACAAAGTTACCCGACAAACTCATTTTATTCGCTTTGCAAAAACATATTGCATTTAAGACAGCAATAAAAGACTTCGGGGGGGGAGCTTTGTCTTGGTCACTACATCATTAGAAAATGTTTACGTTGTGTTTTATTGACTTTCTTAAGCATATTAATTGATTTTTCAGCCAATGTGATTTGGATGAATGAACAAAGAAAATTGCAGTTATCATATTATGGTAGGCTTTTTGTATTCTCTTGATCTAGATTGCATGTTCTCCCTGTGTTGGCGTTTTATTTTAGTATTATTTACTATTATTACTATTAGTATAAGTAATAATACTAATTCTATGGTACTATTTATTAATATTTTAAATTAGCTTTTATTTTTATATTGTCAATTCACATTATGTTAAGTGTAAAAATATGTGCCAGTTGGGCAGGAAAAATAATCTTGTTTTGTCTATTTTTCTTGCCAAATGGCAGATATTTTGTCTTGCTTAAGTTTTGTCTTAGCAAAAACTTACTAACAACATTTTGATAAATTTTTCAGAAAACAAGTTAATATCTCAAGTCATTTTGCTTCTCAAGTAAATGCATGTTGATTCAAAAATGTTTAGATATTTATACTAGAAAAAGACAAAAATGCTAATGCTTTTTTTTTAACAGTGTATTCAAATCTGCCATGTAGAAGTTTAGTCGTAAGTCTTTTTCACCAATGTTAAGTGTAATACAATGGTTTAATACAATTTTTCTGTGCTGTTGTTAACAAGTAAAACGGAGTCATTGATTCACTGATCCATTGTCACACAGCCACCAGACGACATACCCAAAAAAGGTCCACCTTTTAATTTTCAAGACTACTTTCCACCTAAAACTCCACTGGAACACACTTGTTTTTGATCAGGAACATGGAGGCTGAAGGTCAAGTTCACCCATCTAAACGCATCCCAAAGGTAATGCTTCTTTTTCATATCAACAGTTATTTGTTGAACTTTTTGAAGAATACAGGCATCTTTGAGATTGGATTAGCCTAAATTAAATCATTAAAACACTAGTGATGAAGTCAAACAACCGCTCTTATAAGGTAACAAATCTTTCTCTCAAGTCCACTAAAGTGCCTTGGTGGAAATTAACAAGTGTGTTTATTCCTTGTTTAATTCTAATTTAAATAAATCAACACCTCTTTCTGTTATTTTCTTATTCTTACAGTATGGCGCTTTGTCATCTCTGAGCCAATTCGGAAAGAAGCATGACTATTATACAACAGGAATGTGAAAGAAAGTGTAATGATCGTACAGAGATAATTCAGTTCGGTTGACTTACTTGAAGCAGTAGGCAGTGGTGAGAGGTTTCAGAACACCCTGTGTCTGACTGTGGTCTGTCCTGTATAGAGGGTTTGTGTATTCAGCCCTGTTCTCCCACAGGTGCGGCCACAAAGAGTGTGTTCGCTCTTGTAACCTGCATAGTTCACAAAGAGGGAGATTGAATGAGTAAACTAGCACATAAAGGTAATGAAACCAAGATGGTCCAACGGTTACAACAAGAAGTTACATTTCCTTTTGTTTGGAACTAGATTCTATACCACATCTATACAAAAAAAACAAATTGAGATGAGAAATTTTTTTTTAAGTAGGTATACTATTGACATGTTTATCTGGTCCACTTTGCAGGTTGGTCTGGTTAGAATGCCCACTTGACAGGAAAAGACCATTTAAAGCATTGGTCTCAAACTCAATTCCTGGAGGGCCACAGCTCTGCACAGTTTTGCTCCAACCCTAACCAAACACACCTGATCCAGCTAATCAAGGTCTTCAGGATCACACTAGATTTCCAAGCAGATGTGATTTGGAGCTGGTTGGAGCTAAAGTCTGGTCATCTCTGAGCCAATTCGGAAAGAAGCATGACTATTATACAACAGGAATGTGAAAGAAAGTGTAATGATCGTACAGAGATAATTCAGTTCGGTTGACTTACTTGAAGCAGTAGGCAGTGGTGAGAGGTTTCAGAACACCCTGTGTCTGACTGTGGTCTGTCCTGTATAGAGGGTTTGTGTATTCAGCCCTGTTCTCCCACAGGTGCGGCCACAAAGAGTGTGTTCGCTCTTGTAACCTGCATAGTTCACAAAGAGGGAGATTGAATGAGTAAACTAGCACATAAAGGTAATGAAACCAAGATGGTCCAACGGTTACAACAAGAAGTTACATTTCCTTTTGTTTGGAACTAGATTCTATACCACATCTATACAAAAAAAACAAATTGAGATGAGAAATTTTTTTTTAAGTAGGTATACTATTGACATGTTTATCTGGTCCACTTTGCAGGTTGGTCTGGTTAGAATGCCCACTTGACAGGAAAAGACCATTTAAAGCATTGGTCTCAAACTCAATTCCTGGAGGGCCACAGCTCTGCACAGTTTTGCTCCAACCCTAATCAAACACACCTGATCCAGCGAATCAAGGTCTTCAGGATCACACTAGAAACTTCCAAGCAGATGTGATTGGGAGCTGGTTGGAGCTAAAGTCTGCAGAGCTGTGGCCCTCCAGGAATTGAGTTTGAGACCACTGATTTAAACAGATGAACCAGACCATATTTTTGGTTTTGCTTTGTTTTTAGTAATGCTAGACACATACTAGTTCTTCTTCTTCTTGCACACCAAGCCATTGATCATTCTGCTTTTCACACTGCTGGCACTAGTCAGACTTTCATCGGTGGCTTTTTGGCCAACTGATCATGTTGAATTGGATGTGAGAGACTCTGATTGGCTGTTCAGCTTAGAGAACCAATGTAAGAGAAGAAAAAGTGATGAAAGCAAGCCAAAAAAAAAAGTTGAGCAAGACTTTCCCTACATTCAAATATGCCTACTTCCCTACTATATAGTAGGTTGGAAACAGTATGTGAGACAAGTAGTATGTCCAAATTCATAGTATTTGTAAAACAATAGGCGTTGTGAGATTCTGAAGTGTGCCTCTGATGAACTCTTTACTAACCCAGGAGGCCACAGTGAAGTGATGCGAGTCATGCGACTGATACTGGTAGATCACATGACAATGACAACATATAAAAACCTGCATTGCTTACGAGACGTTGTTGCTACAGCTGCTCAAGCGCGGAGAAAATGACAGCGTACAACTGGCTGAGGGCAGAAATATGCTTATTTGATACAGTCCATCAGCGGTCGTGGGCTGGGCCTGAGCAATATGACATCATACTGCTCAGATAATCAAAACGGCTTGATAGTTGAGACTTTTTAGATTTTTGGGGCATAAAAAAAAAGAGAAGTGAATTGAGTTTTATCTTTGTAGGGTGTTTGTGTCCACACACTGGACACATTTATATCCGATGTCCCCTTTAACGGTTGTGAAGTAAGTATAGTACCTACTAGGCTAAATGTGATTTTTAACACAGCGTATGTGTGTATCCAGTCTTAGCTCGTTCGTTTCTGAATGACAAATACGGACTACTGCCACCTGCTGGTATGGAGAGTTATTTCCTCTCATGCAGACACAGAACTTACAAACTAGTTGGCTGTAGTGTTTGCTGTGTGTTCAAGCACAACTTTTGGTCGAGAGTGTTGGTTTGGTGCTTTAGGAGCTCTCATAATATCAGCTTAAAACATGATTTTGTTTCCTGGCTGGATGTTTTTGTGACTGTGGTTCATCTATACTAGTACATCTGAAACCATCTCAGTTCAAGAAGTAGTTGATTTCTGTCAAAATCAGAACCAAGTTATCCTACATGATCTAAAATTTTGAGCTGCAGTTGCACAAGCAGCTGGTGCGAGTAGAAGCCTGGCAAATTTTGCTGAACCTGTTCCCCCCTTATTTCTCACTGCAATCTCTAGTTATAAAATTAGCAATTGTATTTTTTTTTTTACCTCAAATCTCTCCTTTCTTTCTGGCAATTGCCGATGAAGTTCCCATTCTGGCAGGAGTAGATATGTGTGTGTAGCTGTATGAGGAATCGCTCATTGAACTCAAATGCACATGGGAACTGCTGCATCAACTGCCACACGCACTCCAGAAACTGGTCCATGACTGGAGAAACCTCCTTAGGGTCACCATCAAGGTGAGCATACCTGTAGAAGATTTTATATAATAAATGAATTTGTAAATAGTAATGGTATAGTCCATCATCCAACCTTTCACCACCAATCTTTCTTTTCTCAGATTTCACTGGCACTTTTGGATATTCCAACTTGGTGCGTCACATTACAAAACAAGCAAGAACCAGTGGTGTTTGCTGTCACTGACGTGCCAAGTTTGAATGTGCACATATGTTAATTACTTTTCATGAATGAATAACAACTTAAACATTACACAAAGTTATCATTTGGCTTTAGAAGACTTTGAATATGTTATAGTCACTGTAAGCTTTTGCTATACGGGAAAAGGCAGCTTAAGCATTCTTGAAAATTTCTCCTTTTCTGTTCCATGTAAGAAAATGTTCATATTTGGGAAAACTGACTATGTAACATATCATGATTGGAGTGCAGAGATTCACCTAAAGCTTAGATACGCAGAGCCTAACATTGTATACTGCATGACTGATGGTTTAGTGACAGTATTAGCTATGGATTCAGGAATGAGACTTTTCTTGTTTCGCATGTTATCCATGCACAACATACACAGTAGACGAGATTCACAGAAAGCTTGAATTCAATTATGCAATTCAACTAATTAAAATTAACTGCAAGTTGTACGTGGTGTCCAACATGTGAGGCCAGAAACATGCAAATTGAACCTGTGGGAAAACTTGTGTCCAAATGATACCCAGTCCTTCTCAATCAGAACCTACAAGAAACAAGACTTGTGTTCAAAATAGAAAAAACATGTTACATATTTAGTCTTAGATGATGTTGGACTAGCACTGTTTAAAAAATCAAAGCAAAATGGATCAGTCATCAATGAAGTTATTACCATCAGTCCTTTGATAGTTCTGTAGTATGGATCCAGAAGCACACTAGCCACCGAACAGGCCTGAGCTGTTCTGTCCCACCCGTCTGAACAGTGCACCAAAACACTCACTCCATCCTCCGCCACTGCCTGACAACATAGATATGAATGGAAGAATACATGTGTGATCATATCATACTTATCATATTGTTTGTACTTAGGTTTTTTTACTCGGATGTTTTTGGGCATGTTTCCAACATGAGATAATGCCATGTTTTATTAGATATGTAATTTCCATGATTTTATCCATGATTTACATCCATGATTTACAAATGTAATTTCCTTTTCTAATCACTTGTGATAACAGAGCATGGCCTTTCAAAAACCATATGTAAAAACTTTTAAAAAGTCTTGCCTTTGCAATGAAGACTCCAGCATCTAGTACAGCTTTGATGTGTTTTAGCCACCCAGAGTTCTCCAGACCCCACAGGAAATCACTCATGGAGGGAGCAGCGAGTTCACCAACTGCGAGACAGAAAAGGTTCATTTTTCATATGGACAACAAGTCAACACCAGACAAGTATCTGCTGGTATGAAAGTAATGCAGATTAATCTGTTTACCATCTATAAGCTTCTGTTGGCTGTTCCTCATGACATGGATGTTTTCTATGCCAATGAACTGTAGTTTTATGTTAGTGTAATGGTCTTCATTCTCGTAGCCCTTCCCTGCAGCACGATTAGCCATGGCATTTAGCTGGAAATAGTTACAGACAGTGTTTCAACGTCACAATACTGCTGGTATTTATGATTATTTTCAAAATATCAACATTATATTACGACATTATGAGATTGGGGGGGTGCTTCATGTAATGCAAAAAAAAAGAAAAGCTTTTAATTACCTTTAATTATATGCACAAAGCCAAAGCCATTTATGTATATATATATATATATATATATAT